ATTGTTTTGGAGTAACAAAGATACCGACGAATGGTTTCAATAGATTCTTGAAAAATGAGTTGGATTTTTCCTTTTTATACCCACACCAAAACGATGTGATGCCGTTTTGATGATAGCTTTGAGATTCAAGACAAAGTCGTTTAAAAGAGCATGTGAGAAAAAATTATTTGGGCCAAATATCGCTTGACCTGTATCTATTAGGTCAAGCCCAAAATACTTTTGGGCCACTTGTATTTGAATTTTAAACCCACTTGAGATATGTGTTTTGACCCAATTTTATTGTGGTTATTTAATTCCCTTTTTGATTTTATTCCTTTTTTATGCACATATTTAAACTTACAAAACTATTTCATAAAAGATGTTATCTAAGAATAATAAAAATTTTAATTAGTTAAATTCAAAATTTGCAATTATTTAGATAAAATCTCTTTAAAAGGGCATTTTGAAAAAGTTGTTAGTGAGAGTTTTATTAAATTTTCCCAAGAAAAAATAATTCTGAGACCATACTAAAAGTGCTGGGATAAATTTTGTAACTATATTTACAAGAAATATTATTTCTAAATAAGTATTTCATAAAAAATGGAATTTAGAAAAAACATAAAAAATGAATATATAATAATTAAAATATTTAATAAACTAAAGTTGCATCATGATATTATTTGTTTGCATACGTTTAATTTTAGCTATACAAATATATTAGAATCCTCCAATGATCGAATTTTAAGAAAGTATTTTTAAATCAATTTTAAGAAAGTTGTGAGTGACAACTTTCTTTAAGATTCTTAGGTGAGGAAATTGTCTAATATTCTACCATAAATATTAGAGAATTTAGAAAAATTTCCAATATAAAGGGTTTGCATTTATTTTTCAAGAACTTAAATAAAATAAAGAAATAAAAATAAAAGGTATAAAAAATTAAAATAAATAAAAAATTTCCAATGATGGAATTTTAAGAAAATTGTAAGTCAAAAATTTCTTGAAAGTTGTAGTGAGAAAATTTTCTGAAGCTTTTCAAAATTTCAAAAAATTTCATCCAAAGACATCCTAAGAACATGAACAAAATTGGTTAAAAAGCTATGCAAATATGAGTGTTTGAGAATTAGATCTGGCAATTTATGTTTCCCTATCTTAATTGTATTGTGTAAAAATAAAATATTAATAATTTTATGAATAAATGCGAATATGATATGATTAACTAATCTGCTTAGAATCTAAAATATGTACATAGATACATTTAGTAACGGTATTAAAATTTGAAACATGATATGACACGACTAATATGTTTATTAAATGTGTTGAGTTAAGATTTATATGACACAACACGATTAAATGATTTATGCAATTTAATTTTTAACACGATTAAATAAAAATACCTATAATTAAAATATAATTTTATTATTCAAATTTAAAATCAATAATTATAAAAACAATTATAACAAGATAATAATATGATCAAATATAATAAATTCAACATAACTAACATCCATAAAATCCATTATCATAAAATAGTCTTTTATAACTAAATTTAAACAAGTTAATAAACGTATCCTTTTATACAGATTAAACATGATAATACAATTAACATGATTAATTAAATAAGTTTAAATTTGTTAACTAAATTGTGAGGTGTGTCAAAAAGCCAAGAGCTTAATTCATTCTTTCCTAGAAGAACACTCACGCTATGCAAGGGGTTTATATAATTTTATAAACAATTGATGTTAAAAGTTCAATATAAAATTTTTGAATTAGTAGATATTGAATATTTTCCATTGATATTAACAATTTTGAATATTACAATTGTTCTAGATTATTTAAAGAAAAATAAATAAAGTAATGTATTTATTATCGTGCAATTGTACAATGGCAGATTATTTGACGCTAAAATGATTCATAGTAATGTATCTAGCATATAAGAATAATATATATATATATATATATTTGTGTCTAGCATATATGTTTGTATCTAGCAGATTGTGCTAATATATATTTTAAAAACTGAGAATAGAAAAGGTAAATAATTGTTGGAAGCAAAATGCTTTACATTCTATAGCCATATAAGAATAATACATGTATGTTTGTATCTAGCATCACTAGAAAGCAAAAGAAGGAAGCAATGAAGCATATTTGATTTTTAATATTTGAGATATATACAAATAATGTTTATTACAAAATACACAATGATTGTTATATAACATACAAAAAAAATACTTGACAGCGATTAATGAGCATAATATTATCTAAAAAAACATAGTTTAATAATTATCTATAACAACCAATTGAAATAATGGTTTTTTTTTTTGGACAACATTGTGCGAAATCGAAGTATTTCGGCACAACGACAAAAATTAGTTCAATAGAAGCGTTAGCACGCTATGTAGTGTAAAATAAAAAATGAAGTGATAACGTTTAAAGGAGCTCTTTAGAAATGTTTGATTTGTACACAGCCAACACTTATATAGCATAAACATATTTTAATCCATGTGTAGCATGTTGTCTCCAAAAACATGACATACTCAAAAACATGTTGCTCCTGTTTTAGACAACATTGCAAACACAATATATAATAAAAACTGAATTGGTAGCGTTTGGTCAAACTTGTCTGAAAGCCTCTGGAACTTGAATATGAGAGGGAGAGGAGACCACAGGTGATTGATTGAAGAAAGGTTAAAATAACTAAAAACCCAAAAAGCCCTTCCTTGAGACATAGAAACCCTATAACAACCCTAATGTCTAAATTAATTACCGAATCAAACGCCTTTCACCTACAAAGCCAAAAATATCCCTTTGAAAATCCCAAAATTCTAACACAGTTGTCAACATCTGGATCCCCCATGTGCATGAGATTCATTACATGGTAGATAGGTAATTGCACCAATAGTAAGTTTTTTCTTTAAAACAACCATTTCCTATTATTTTGACATAAGTCACCAACTTCTTCCTAGACCTTAACAAGGTTTTGAATGAAGTAACAACAACCTCCACTCTCTAAGGGTGTGTTTGTTTGGTTTGCAAAAGAAAATAGGGTGAGAATAGACTAATCATTTCATAAGAATAAAATAAAAGGTGAATTATTATTTAGTTTGATTCATAAGAATGGAATATGACAGTAATTTTTATTATAAATTATTCTAATGTTTGATTAGTAAGAATAGTTTTAGGAATAATTACGAAATAATTGATAAATTATAAAAATACCTTTTATTGTAATATTTAATTTTTAAATTAAAATATTTATTATTTTAATTATTTATTAAACATATTAATAAATTGTTACTTAAATTTTAATAGCATTATGCATTTTAATTGATAGAATATTAATAATTTACATTTCATTTAAAATATTAATAATTTATAATTAAATAATTAATATTATTATTTTATTACTTTTAAAAAATATATTATTTATTTATTTATTTATTGTTTTTAAAATTTTAAAATATTAAAAATTTGTAATTAAAATCTTAATTTAATTTTAAAATATTAATTTTTTATAATTTATAAGTAAAACTTGAACTTTTTATTTTAAATTCATTTTAATGTTTTCTTTTTACTTTCTTTTCTTTCTTTCCATCGACCAAACGTAACGAGCGTCAATATGCAATCTCTAAAACTCGATACTGCCCATGATTGGATTTGACAAGCTAGATCTGACTGTGGGATTTCCCTATAGAGGAAACGCTAAATCCAATGCTTAACCAATATTCATGGGGCTAGCCCATATGCCGATACAAGCAAAACTTTAGTCAATACCTGGGACTTATGAACTTCTTGTGATTAAAATGTTTGAGACATTAAGCATTAAACATATGCTTCATTGTTGATTTCCGATATTCATTCATGTGTACTTCTCATGTGGTTCAAAGTTACTAATATTATGTTACACAGCCTAAAACTCGAAGAACTCTTATTTGTGACATTTAATTCAAAAGTTCATTTATTTATTTGATGATTTTTTATTATTATGTACACGTGGAATGAAATTTAAATAACATAGATTTACTTACAGTAAAAATCAAATCTCTTATTAAAATAAATCGATTCAATATCATCCGTTTTGAGTTTACTTTAATTCTAAGTTTTTCTCAATGTCTTGCTTCAGAATAACTCCTTATCTTTCATTTGTAAAAAAAAAAAAACTATGTTTTTAATTGTATCCACGTAAACTCTTAATACAAAATGAAAACTCACTATATATGACGATGACTTGATGATGTAATCATTAACAACTAAGCTAGATATTTGATTTTTGTTTTCCTTTTTGCACTCGTCATGTTCCATGTGATGCAATCTTATGACACGGTCACCTTAGTTGTCACATAATTACATTATCGAACCATATTATATGACATGTGGCTAGAAATTGTCATTAAGTCGTCAATTTTTCATTATAAATTAAGAGATTGTATGAACAAAAAACAAAAACAAAGAGTTTTTCTTTTAATAAAAATCAAAAGATAAAATTTTTTTTGGTATAATAAAAATATAAGAGTTCAATGGCATAAATTTATATATTTCAAGAATATTTTTATTATTTAAACCTAAATTATTTCTGATTTTAATATTTTAACCAATTGAACCAACTCATTCTCTCCCATTGCCCTTGTTAATATTTTTTTTTCAAAAAAATTGTAGATGGAAAATAAATCCATTAAACAATTGTCCGAAAAATAAACATATGTGCAGAGCTCCAATGAAATAAATATGTGTTATTCATTGGTTTTTAAATATTATTATTTTATATTTAATAATAAACTAATAACAGGCTGAGCCGGGCCAAGTGAACTGGGCTTGAATTTCCAAAGTGTCAATCAGACTATGGATAAAAATTGGTAAGCAAGTCCAATTGGAAATACAGCAAAACTCAAAGCCGAAGTTTTATTATTTGGGCTTGGATCTTGATAACAGTGGGCCTTTGTTTGTTTGTGTGTTTTTCATAATTCTTCGCGGTTAAGATAACCGACGAACAGCCTGGTCATATAAAAGAGGGCCCTTCCGTTTCCTTTCTATATTTTTTGTTGAAAGGAATTGCAGTGTTAGAAGGAAATAAAACAGAAGGGGGGGAAGAAGAAGGGATCATTAACCCCTCTATTACTTCTTGTTTCTTTTGATTTGCTTGAGGCTTTCTCTTCATTCTTAACATACACTTAACACTGTTAAAACCATTTATTCTAAAGGAAAAAACCTTTTGTTTTTTACTTGTTTGATTCGTTTTTGGTGATATAAATCAAATTCTTTTGGTCATAATATCTGACCATTCGTTTACGAATCAAAAGTACGGAATTCGGGATTTTGGGTATTCGGGGTTTGAGCAAATACGAGTAGAAACGATGTCGTATGCTTACCTTTTCAAGTATATTATCATTGGAGATACAGGTACGGTTCCTTTCGTATTTTCCTAAGTTGCTAGTCTTTTTTTTTTATTTTGAATTTTGGTATCTGGGTCGTTCTTATATGTTTTTTTCTTTTAATGTTTCTTTACAAGTATAATTTGCTGTTTTGACTCTTTCTCTATATCTCATTCAAGTCCTTTTTTGAAAAAAAAAAGAAAAAAGGTCTCATGGGTTTGATTCTGTAAGCAACATCAAGTTCTGAATTTTCTAGGAATTTAAAGCTTTACTGAAGGATTTTTTTTTTCATTAACACTGTCAATTTCTAAGCTTGTCATTGCCAATTGAAGAAGTAAAGGGTGCATTGTCACCTTCTGTATAATTTGATGAGGCCCTTGATTCCTATGACCTTTTTTAAGATGAAGAATGTTTAGAGGATCTAGAATGGAGTAATGCCTATATTAAGCATGATATTGTGTTAGCATTGCAAATGCTGAGACAACGAAGACTGAAATTGCATTCCGGTGAAGCTAGCTACATTAAGCACTTTGGCATATGATACGCTATTTGGCCATTTTGGCAAGATTACTTTCCCAAGGATGTAATGCCTGTATTCGAGAATTTGAAAGTGTATTTTATGTGCTTCTAATATTGGTATGTTCTTTTTGTTTGTGCAGGAGTTGGAAAATCATGTCTTCTTTTGCAATTTACCGACAAACGATTTCAGCCTGTTCATGATTTAACAATTGGTGTTGAATTTGGAGCCAGAATGATCACTTTTGAAAACAAACCGATAAAGCTTCAAATATGGGACACGGTTGGTTTTTTCTTGTGTTTAGTTTAAAGTTATGTTCTATGTAATGTGTGTTTTTGTGCAGTTGGAGTTATATTTGTCAATCTAAGCTGCTACATTGCACAGGAATTCCCTAACATAGTATCAAAGTAGGATGTGAAAGGTTCAAATTGTCTATCCTGTGAATTTATGGTATTTCTGGGAGGTCTGAGTGCAACCTTGTGGAAAGCTAAGCTTTCAGGCAAGCTCCTGAAGGGTTGTGTTAAGATAAATGGATCTTAGTTTTACCTAAATACCAAATAATTAGAATAATTAAATATTTGAGGAACGCGTGTTCATATTTAATACCATGTGTGTACGGCTCATTAATTTTGTCATGGAAAAAAGATAGGCTTTATCATGCTTTGAAGTAGGATAATAAGTTTATCTGCCCTAGAATTTTATATGCTTTAGCAAAATTTCCTTGATGATGCCAAAAGTAATTGTGATATGTTCTCCTCGGTGGTTGCTATTTCTACCACTGTTAAATACTAATGAAACCCTTGCTTAAGCCGTTTAAAATTTAAAGCATGTTTGTTTCAGTTGTGGATGTTGAATTTTTCTTTGTTTTCAGGCAGGTCAAGAGTCATTCAGATCCATTACACGGTCCTATTACCGAGGGGCTGCTGGTGCACTTCTGGTTTATGATATCACTAGGTATTCTTTCTTTTAGAACTTTTGAGTTATGACAATGAAGTTACTTAACTTCTAGACAACCCACCTTTTCTTTTGTATATTCTTCTACATGACTATATTACTCATTGAAGCAATTTTCCATGGTCCGTTGGCTGCAATTTAAGCTTGTAATTGTCTTACTACTAAAGTTAATACTTTGGAGGGCATTGGTGTGAAAATTGTTTCAATGTTATAATAAAGTTCAAATTGTAGCTCCATTGCATAGGAGTTTGTAGATATTTGCTGTTATCTATCTATCTATCTATCTATCTATCTCTCTCTCTCTCTCTCTCTCTCTCTATATATATATATATATATATATATATATATATGTTGTTTGCTTATTTGCTTAATGGAAGAACATTGCAATTTATGGATTGAATTATTTAAATGGATATAAGAATTTTAGCCTACCAGTTTCGGAACTCTATTCTTGATTGTGTAATTCTCAAACACATTGCAATATTTTTACTATGTGATTGCTGGCAATGTTGTTTGGACCAAAATCGGCCTTTGATATAGATATTGTTTTTTAGGAGAAAGAGAACTTTGTTGCTGTCATTCGCCATCTAATCCTCTTTAATGTTGCACTAATCTAGGATTCTCTTTTAGTATGAAGATTTCTTTAGTGCATTAATAATATTCCTGATACTGCATTTTGTATACTCAATAAGTATATGACTGTATGAAGTTGTCTGGATAGATCAAATTTGTCTGCCTATGCTGTTGATAAATAAATTTATATGATCAATATTCAGGAGGGAGACTTTCAATCACTTGGCTAGCTGGTTGGAGGATGCAAGGCAGCATGCAAATGCAAACATGACAGTAATGCTTATTGGCAACAAGTGTGATTTGGCTCATAGAAGAGCAGTGAGCACAGAGGAAGGCGAGCTGTTTGCTAAGGAACATGGGCTGATATTCATGGAGGCCTCAGCGAAAACAGCTCAAAATGTTGAAGAGGTGATGATAACCTCTTTTATCTTTATATGTCCTATTTGATATTTATTCTCAAAACTTTTGTAACAAAAAATTATTGCAGGCATTTATAAGCACAGCCGCGAAAATTTACAAGAAAATACAGGACGGCATAATTGACATATCTAATGAGGTTAGCTTTGTCTGCTTATATTTACCCTACAATTTCTACGATCTCTTTGTATCAAACTATTATGTTCAATTCACCCATCTCTGTCTCTTCATCCTTCCCTTTCCCTCTTTCTGTTTTGTATTTAATAAGGCAAAAGTTATATCAAATTTTGGCATCTGGTTATTTAGCTCATATTTGAATATTATGTTTATCCTCAACTCTAACTCCTACTTTTTCCCCTTTTAAGGAAAAGAAAAATGACAAGTGCAATTTCAGTTTCCTTCCCTTAATTTTTCTCTGTTCTCACTTTCTCCATCGAGCTCCTATTTTTAACTAATACCCCTCTGTACACAAGGGTTTGAGAGGCTAATAAATTGTTTATTGTATTAGATAATATTTACGTCTGTCTGCATATTTAATTTCTGAGAAATTGGCTTGCAGTTTTTGTGATATTTAATAAGATTTAAATCAGAGAGGTAAATATAATTAGAATTAAATAAATCACATGCTTTTTAAGTTTTTAGGGTAGTGCTCGGTTGTTGGGTCCTGAAGAATGTTAGTTGTTTCTAAGGCAGCATTATGGAATGGTTGTATACTTGGATTATCAATCTTCTTTTCTTGTACTATGTTTGCAGTCTTATGGCATAAAAATTGGACATGAAGCCATCGCAGCATCATCAGGAGGTAGAGATGGTACGGCTTCTCAGGCAGGCGGCTGCTGCAGCTGAAAATTAGGTTCTCTTTCCAAGTTGAAATATTTTGGGCATTTGATTGTTAATTTATAGGTTTGTTGTACTTTTGCTATTGGATTCTCCATCATCTTGTTTTTACAATAATCTTCCACAGGTTACTAATAGATATAATTGTTTCTTATTACATAAGTTCCTTTCGAAAGAGACCATCAGCTCCCTGCCCCCTCTTCTTTTTCTGCCCGCCATTGGTACTACAATGAATTTTGTTCTTTCTTTTTTCTTTTCTCGAATATAACAAGTCTTGGACTCAAAGAACCATTGGTGTGAGTCCATATGCATGCACACCATATTCGTGAGTTATCACTTTATTGCGAAAAACCTTTTATGGCATCATCCAATGCAACTTCTAGGCATTGGAGACCCTAGAGGTTAGTCCATAGAGACTCAGACCAAACACAGAAACTCAACTTCAACCATGTAACATTAAACTCACAAAACAATATGCGGTTGAAGCAAAAAATTAAAACATGACAGGTTACTATTTTTGATATAATCCGACAGTTATAAGAATGATAAAGCTTGCAATGGAGACTGCAATCGCCATCCCCGGAAATTTATAATTACCCTGTTCCATGTCTGCAGCATCTGCTAGCGGCATTTGCCTAGATTTTCTTTCTCATGGAAAAATTAAAGCGAATGCAACTCTGTTAACTGATTGTTTAACTAGACTCTCCCCTTAAATTTTCTCGCGATGAAACTTAGTTACATTTATAGAACAGGCAACTAGGGAAAAGCTAGAAGGATTCTTCCTATCCTTCAAGCTGGTTGTTCCCTTCAATTCTCCTCTAATATACTCCAATAGTAAAGTACATGATGCTGCAAAAACTGACACAGGCAAATTGCATAAGGCAATTAGCGACCTCGACCCCGGCCACGTCCACGCCCCCGGCCACGTCCACGTACCGAAGGCCTCCCTGAATAGATGGGTAAATTAGTAGAAATGAGAAAGATGCATAGAAAATTGTAATCTGCTCGGAACAAATGAACTGAAAAGTGAAATATACAAATACCAGCAGCTGGCTTCTTAGGCTTAACCCTTGGTGTCTCCTCCACAAGCAAAGTTTCCAGATTCAAGCTGTCAGGGAGAATATAATAACGAATGTTGTTCCCCCTCACACTCAGATGGTCAAGGGTAACTGGGTTTTTTCCTTTCAGCGTTAGCTTCACAGTCTTCAAATGTGTATTCATGCTAACATCAACCCCTATAAGATTACAGCAAAAGCAACTTTTCAGACAGTGCATTTGACTTTCCAGAAAACAGCAAAACGGGGATAACAAAGGAGCAGTAGTCTCCAAGTCATGTCAAAATTTTCAGTAGTCTTGCCAAAACTTCCATTTCCATTTATCATCTTACCAGGAAGAATTGAAATGAAAACTTAAAGACTAAGAATAATTTACAACAAAAAACTTTCAGAAAAAAAAAAAGAAGGAAAAAGCAGCATAGGTAAGATCGTATGTAACTACGATAAAAAAGGCTAATTCTTGGCATTGAATACTAGATCCAATAAAGCAAAAATTCCAACCGCATGCTTTGCAAAGTGCATGGAAAGAAAAAAAAAAGGTACACAAGGGTCCATTAGTATGGGTAATAAATTTCACGTGGATCCATTAGTATTAGTAATTGACAATCTGCCCCAAAGTGTACACTCCTAACTACTCGTTGTTCACCCCTTTGCATCTCTTTAGACGCTCCTCACACCAAGTGATTAGGATTAGCTTTTTTTAGATTTGTAGATTAGTGAACCAATTAAAAGCTTCATCCTACGACCAAAAAGCCCAAAACAAGTTTGTTCCATTGATTGCCTTAAATTAGTTGGGTTTTTGTTCCTCTAAAAAAATTTGATTTGGTTTTTAAGGCACCTTTAAACCATATTTAAAATCGAGAGTGAAACTCGGGTTTTGTTCATCAATTCTGGTGTTATTCGTCTGTGGTAAGCTTTCTGTTATTGTGCTTCTATTGTTAGGGTTAGGGTTAGGGTTAGGGTTTTTTAATTCTAGGGCTCCATTAGGATTTGAAGATTTCAACCCTAGAAAAAAATGGCTCTATTGTTGCTATTAGGGTTAAGATGTGGGTTCAGGTTATAACCCAAAACACAAACCCTAACCCTAACTCTAATTGAATCAAATTGGAGATTGAAAGGCTGGTAAGTAATTTATGGTATTAAGGTGAAGGTTATAATCCAAAAATCAAATCCTAACCCTAATCAATTTGAATTTAGGGATAAAGTTCGAGTTCAAAACCAACACCCTAATTAATTCAAATTTGGAAATTTAGGATTATAGTTCAAAACTCAAATTCTTTTGTAAAGCTAGTTCACGTGCACAAATGGTTTTGTGAAAATAGTAATCCTCATGTACACTAAGGCACCTGATATAAATGCACTACATTTATAGTGAATAACAACATAAAAAAACTGAAAATAAAGAAATTGAACATAAATAATTTTGAAATACATATATATTGCTATTCACCATATAAATATAGTGCATTTACATCAAATCCCTTAGTGCACATAAAAACCATTATCTTCACAAAAACCTCTTTGTTCACATGAAGACCGCTAGCTTCACAAAAAAATCTAAGAACCACTATCAACGGGTCCAATCTCAATGTCAAGAATCAAAACATCATCCAAAAATATTCCTTTCTCAAGATAAAGTGGAAGACTTGTGATTTTAAAAGTCTTCCTATCCAAACATAGGGATGCGTCAACCATCCACTCACACTCATTACCTTTGAACTATACCCTATATCTTGTTTTCTCATTCTTGGCCCTATACTACTCAATCCCTTCCTAAATCATGAAATCTATCATCACCTCCCTAAACGATGAACATTGTTGAATAAAATGTTCTCAGCTAGTCTTACCTTCCCACTCTCATCAGTAGCGTAAGAGATGCCATAAGTGACATATCAATAGCTCTACCCTCCTTACCATAGTCGAAGCTTGTTTGGTTATATTTGTCCACCCCACTACCAATATTAGACCGTCCATCATTATCACCATCTTCCTCAACATTCTCCTAAGAATTGGCTTGAGACAAACTTACATCTTTTTCACTCACTGACTTAGGCATCCAGTCTATATTCTCATTGGACAAATCCATTCCTTCTGACACATATATGTCCCTAGAATCACTACTTGATTCACTAATACCACAAGCAACAATTGAATTACCAACATCAACATGATTGGAACTACCTTCCCCAACACTACCTCTTCCTGTTCCTAAACCAAAAACTCCCCTTCTATCAGCAATATGTACATCAGCATTCACATTAACATCAATATTCAAATTTACCTCAACATTCACATTTACATCATCAAAAAACTTACCAAGGTTAGAATCCATTGTTTACAGGGGAATTGCACGTATTAGGTCCAAGTCAAGGTGGATTTTCCTTCTATCAACAATATGTACGTCAACATCCACATTAACATCAATTTTCACATTCACCTCAAAATTCACATTTACATCATTAAAAAACTTACCAAGGTTAGAATCCATTGTTTGCAGGGAAATTACAGGTATTAGGTCTAAGTAGAGATGGACTTTCTTGGCACCTTCATATATTTGGAAGAGCTTGAGAAAATCACTGTCATTTCTCAATTCAAAAACCTCCTTGGATTTTGGATGTCGTGCACTAATAAAGACACTCATTCCTACTCCAACATTGGAATCATCAACCATCAGTTTGAATACATCATTCATCAACTTTATGTATGAATATCTGTCTAAATCAACATTCTTGATTGTCATCACATTTGTGTTATGGTGCACCATTGAGTCATATTTGTGTTATGGTAAACCATCGAGTCATAGAGAAGTCGGCCATGTCCAAACTTGAAAAACAAATTACAATAGGTTAGCTGACCTAAAATGTTAAACCATAACCCCAATTTCGAATCCTAACCAAAATACAACCAATTTCGCATCTGGGATGAAACACTCAAATTATAATCAATTAGGATTTCCAATTCTCTAACCCTAACTTTAACACCTAACCCAAATACCACCAATTACTTAGCAAAGGTGTAATCCCCAAATTCGAATCAATTAAGGTTTTGGGTTCTTGAAATCTCCAAATTCGAATTGTTTAGGATTGAGGTTCAAGTTTGGGTTCAGTTCGAATCGATTAGGGTTAGTGTTAGGGTTCGAGGTTTGAACCCGAACTTGAACCCTAAATCCCCAAATTCAAATTGATCTAACACCACCAATTACTTACCAACCCCTAAATTGCCAAATTCATTTCAATTAAGGTCATGGTTAAGGTTTGGGTCCGAGGTTACAACTCCAACCTCGGACCCATGCCTTAATCCTAATCGGAATTCTTGAATTAAAAAACTCAATCCTAACCATAGAAGCACAACACCAGAATGCTTAACAAAAAAGCACAACACTAGAATCGATGCAAATTGATCAACAAACCTTGAGTTTTCACTCTCAATTTCAAATACGGTTTAAAAGTATATAAAAACCAAACCAATTTAAGGCAGTTGATTGAACAAATTTGTTTTGAGCTTTTTGGAATCAGATGAAGCTTTTAATCAGTTCACTAATTGGAGAACCTAGAAAAACCCTAACCCTATTCGATTGGCGTGAGTAAAAGCCAGAAGAGATGTAAAGGGGTGAAAATTAGGTAGTGAGGAGTGATTAGGCTTCCAAATGACATGATTAGGTCACACTTATACGAGAGGCATTTTACTCATTTCACATTATCCATTAATACCATTTACACGTTTAAGAGGGGCTGTCTATTACCAATACTAATGGACCGTGAGGAATTAGAGACAAAACCTGCAGGGGTAATTTGTTTATTTAATTTTTGACTCATACTTTGATAATTACCTAAAATAAGCTGATAAAATTTAGGATATAGACCGGATTGGGAAGTTTTTAAACTACATTGCTGGTGTAAAGCATAATAATCTCTTAGACAATGTACTATTTATTTGAAATTAAGGTCAAACAGTAATAAATAGGAATCTTAACAACGAAAACCACGGAAAAGAAGAAGAAACCAAAAACAAAAAAGGAGTTATATATATGTTCAATTATTTAGGGAAAAACCGAAATGAGAATAATGAATATTGTAACTGTAAATTGTAAAAAAAATAAAAACAGTGAGAGAGAGAGAGAGAGGAACCTGTGATAGTGCCATGGACAACAGTTCCGTTTTTGAGCTCGATGGAGACAGTCTCGTTGTTTAACTTCATTAAAAACCTAAATTTTTCCATCATTTATAGACATTAATCGAAATTTAAAGAAAAAGAGAGGGAATATTGCTTGTTATTTGAAGTTAAAAAGTGGAAAGCTGTCAAAAGAAGAAGAAACGAAGAAAGGAAGGAAGATAGGAGGATTACCGTACGAGCTTCATGGTGAAATGGTTTGAGCAGAGCAACAGAGCAGAGCTCCAGAGTCCAGCGCCAATGATGCAAAAGCAAAAGTGCAAAACCCTCTCCCCCTTTGGAGACTCGGAGCACTTTGAGTCGGCAGTGGATCGGATTTAAGGCTGAATCTGACTCCACTTAGGTTGGTCACAAGTTCATTTGGGCCAAAGATACCTTGGCCCATAAGCAGCCCAAGACTGCTGATTTCTCCCCTATTCTTAATAATATTTTTAACAAAATAATAAAATTAAACAGTAAAAATATCTTTAATAACATTCAAAATATAATGTAATCTGATTGTATTTGTTTTGAACTATAGTCACATATCATTTATTGTAATGTGATTACATAATAATTTTACGTTACATTAGTTTATTACAAAATAAAATTTTGAATTATTTTTAATTTGAGTTATTTTGAATTTGAGTCATTTAAATTTAACATTAAAATTATTACATTGAACCATTTTGAGTTCAAAATTGTTAATTTTTTGAAATTAAATTATATGAATTATTTATTTGAATTCTTTTTGGTTACTTTTTTCATATGGTTCGGATTTAGGGAATTTTGAGTTTAAGTCAATGTGAGATTTTTTATTTGTTGGGGAAGAGCAAAGGGTTTGATTATAGTGTTTTTTTTCTTTTTAATTTTGATTATTAAGTCCAATTAGAAATTAAGGAATAAAGAGGTTGAAATTATGTAAAAGGAGGAGTTAATATGATAGAGTTAAGGGTTGAATAATTACCTTAACATTAGCAATAAATGGCCAGGGGATCTTTTCAAACTAGTGGAGGGGTTTGTGTCATTGTCTAGTTAACATCATTCTAATTATTATTGTTTTTAAATACAATATCAAGTACGCTCTTATTAACTTGTCGGAAAACAACGGTTGGAATAAATTGATATAAATGTTTGATTGGCAACTTTGACTCAAAGATTTGAAAGGCCAAGGAATGTGTATATCAGCATCAGCAACGCTGAATCGAGAGGGGTGCCCCATCAACTTCAATTTCAAGTTGAAAGCAAAAAACCTTCCTTTGTGTCATCTAACGCCTGCTATTTCTGATCCACTTTGGGCCCCACCGGGCCGTATTGCTCGTCGCTATTCCTAATTCCACTAAAGCAACCTGCTTATGGATGACGCCGCCTGTCACGAGCCCACCTAAACCAAGCCTAAGCCGTTCCCGTTCCATCCTTATTTAAGCTTTTATTCAATTTATTATTAGTATAGTTAGCTAAATATACAATAAAATTTTTATAAATTAATATTTTTAAGATCATAAAATTTATTAATTAATTAAAATATTATTTGATTAATAAATTAATAATTTATTGATTTATTCATTAATTAAAAAATAATTTATCAAGATAATTTTATTATTTTTTAAAATATTAAATTTAATTTATATATTGTGTATTATAACTATATGAGTACTATCTAATTATCGAATTAAAAATTATCATTATTCAGGACAAGTAAATTATTAATAACGGATAACAAGAAAGAAGATAAAGTTGAAAATAATAGTTTTATACTAAAGCTTATTTAGCACAAAGATGAACTTAAAGTAACAATTACATTGTATCAGGGGCTAAGGGAAGAGCTAATAAGGGCCTCGTTGTTTCAAAAGTTTTAAAATTTTAAAATTTTCTTTTATTTTTTAAAATTTTATAGTCTTGTTCTTACTTTTTTTTTAATTTATAATTTTGCTTCTTTAAGTATTGAACTTCTAATATAACTGTTTTATAAACATTGTTTTCGCTCACAACATGAAATCCTAATTTCGCCACTGCATTGCATAATTTTCCCTTATAACATAAGAACATAGCATTAGAGCTTTTTAATGCATTAAGAAAAGTTAGATATGAAGTACAATGAGATATCAATTTTAAAAGAAAACAAATAACATTGAAGTCATATTTTACAAAGACCTGTCGATCCTTAAGTATGTGCTAGATGGGGATAAATGGCATTTTCTAAATGTCACTAAACTTAGAGCTTCTTAAAAGTAGATGATAAAAAGTTGAGGACCACATGGAAGAATAATTTAAAGGAGAATGAAATGGAGAAATAAAAAAAAAAAGTAGATAATATACAAAGATTTATAGTGATTCAGCCTTTTTAACCAACATTCACTATCCTCATCTTTTAATCAAGGATTTTTAAATCAATTCATTAGAATCAGTGGATTTCCTAAGCATCCACTAAATTTTTACAATGACTTTTCACAAGCTCAACCACAACTTTTTAACAATGGCTTTTCAAGAGATCAACCAAAACCTAAATCTAATTTTCCTATAGCTGAATAAAAACCTACAACAACAATCAAGCTAATTTAAGCTTAATTAATCCCTATAGAGTGCCTCGCACACTTTAAGTAATCAAGGAATATAGATTTGAATGTGTACTTATGATCATTAAGTTGATCTAAATGGTACAAGATGAGGTGCTAAAAACTATTACAAAGATTAGAGTTGAACGCAAGAAGAATTGAGAGGATTTTTGCTATTTTTAAGCTTTTTTTTTGTTTTTGGAAGCATCTTATGTCTTTCTTAGCTGTTGGATATATCTTTTATATTTGAAAAATCAACTCTAATGGGCTTCTAATTGTTGGAAATAATTTAGAATCTTTTATAACAATTAGTTTATCTTTAGACATTCAAATTCAAATTTTTCTGATAGTGCGCTTTTAGCTGGTTAACTATACTTCTTAATCGTTTAAGTCTTCTTTGTTTCGTCATTTGCTTTACTCTATTAATCGGTTAAGAAAGGTTTTAACTAATTAATAGCTTACTGTTTTTAGAGCAACCATTTTTATCAATTTTTCTTTGTTTGACTAATTCTTCTCGTAGTTTGTTAATGCTGATCTTCCATTGCTCTTAAACAACCATGAGATATGTTAGTCATCTAAGACTTCTAGAATTGTTTTTAACAAATTTGACTACATTCACTTGGGATATTCACTTTTGAATTTTAGCTGACTAACTCTTTTGGTTAACCAATTAAAAAGTTTCTGTTTATAACTCAGTTTGTGACCCCTTATTCTGAATAGTTTTGATGTTTGATTTCAAGTTATTATTTCATTAAGTGACATATTTTTTTATCCTACACATTCAAGTAATCTTTTATTATTATCAAAAAGTCGTGAAGTTAACAAGACCTCTTAATTGAGTCATATATATATATATATAATATTTTAATATATAAAGAGATTATTAATTTATATATCAAGTGAATTTTATGTGTTTTTTTAAATATATTATTTTATAAATTTAATAAATTATTAATTTATTACATTAATCCCCAATTGAGATAAGCATTTTACGCAATGTTATCATATTAACAACCATCTCTTTCACCTAAAATATTGTAATACAAATGATAAGATAATATTAATTATTCATTTTTTGTGTATTTATGCATCCATCTATTATTATACTTAAATATGGATGTAAATCTTACTTTCATTTAATCTAACAAGTTAATTATCTTATCATATCTAGTCATATGGCTTTTATTTATGAATAAATCTCATTTTTAAACTCTTTATATATTTTTCTCAAAAAGTTTTAGGTAGAAGAATTTCAATCTTATTCTTTAAATAAAAAAATTAAATACTAATCATTAAATTAAATATTTCGATATGCTGTACTTATATTATAAAATTTTTTCAAATATCATATACAAAGAATGATTGACAGATCAAGAGTATAATTTCATTCAATAGATTATTAATTTAATAATAATCACAAGAGAAGAAAAAATCTAGCAAGGTCACATGTCTAAGGGAGAGCAATTAAGTACTTATAAATATACGTGATTCATGCTCCCTCTCATTACTTTTTCCTACGTACTCTCAACATATCTAATCTCCCTTTTGTTTTTTTTACTTATTTTTCCTCCCTTTATTATTTTATTGTTACCCAAAACTGAAAAAAAAACAAAAAGAGTCACGTAAATGGACGGTGGCAAAGAGCCGTGGTCTATGCTTATAACCGCGAGACCGTTGTTTACCCGTGACATGACATCACCCAATTATTCTTCACAAAGTCCCAGATTTTTTGCCCCCACAAAAACCAATTAAATCTTTGCGAAATCCCCAAAACACCCTTATGCCTTTCCAGATCTGATGCAAGACCAATCCCCAGCCAAATGGCAACCAATCCCCTCAAGGTACGGCGCGTAATTTTACCTAAACAATAATGGCAAATCCGTTCCCCGAGGTCCCATCAATCTTAGATCCTTCTCCCCCTTAAAAATACCAGTCCGCATCCCCATCCTCTACAGTAAAATCGCAAGATACAATGGCGAGCATGGCTGCGATCGGTGCTTTGAGGTTGCCTTCCACCACGTCCTGCAATGCTTCTTCCAGTTCTTCGAGCGGTAAATCTGCCGCTCCTCGGAGCTTGTCTTTCTCGGCTTCTGCTCTTTCTGGTGACAAGGTTGTTTCCGAAACGTTTACTGGTTCCCGCCAAACGGAACGCACTCCTTTGATCGTGTCGCCCAAAGCCGTTTCGGACAAGAATTCGCAGACATGTCTTGCCCCCGACGCTAGTCGAAGAAGTTTCAGTTTATCTCTCTGGTTTCTCTGAAATCTTTTGGCTGCTCGGAGTCAATGCGTTTCGATTGCTCATATAACTGAAATATGCGCAAAAGCCAAAGTTTTTTCTACTTTTTGACGGGAATTTGATTGGTTTTGGCAGAGCGTTTTGGGAATTATTTTGGGAGGTGGAGCAGGGACAAGGCTTTACCCACTAACAAAGAAGAGAGCAAAGCCAGCTGTTCCATTAGGAGCAAATTATAGGCTAATTGATATTCCTGTTAGCAATTGCTTGAACAGTAACGTATCGAAAATCTATGTTCTGACTCAATTCAATTCTGCTTCTCTCAATCGCCACCTTTCCCGTGCATATGCTAGTAACATGGGTGGTTACAAGAACGAAGGGTTCGTCGAAGTTCTCGCCGCTCAGCAGAGTCCTGAGAACCCAAACTGGTTCCAGGTTAGTTGCTATTAAAATGGGTTTTAAATTGTTTTTGTCCTTTTGCATCTTTTGATCTGCAAAAGTTTGATTTTGAATGAACAGGGGACAGCGGATG